AAAGAACAAAATTGAAAAAAACCTCCAAATAAGAGTTAAATAAGTTTAGCTTAAAGCCCTCTAAAAGGGTCTTGTCATAGAAGGTAGAATAACAGAAGTAGTAGGCAGCTGAGTTTCAGATATTTAAGGACTAATGCGTCTGCTTATGAAGTAGGTGGCAAATAATACTAACGTTACGTAGGCAGCAAAATTGACAGGGCTGCTAAGGGAAAAAAGACAAACAAAAATGGGCCGGTTTTGCAACTTTGGAAAGGACCAAGACTGATTAAGATCATCAGCTTGAACAGGCTTTATAGATGTNAAAATGAGCCGGTTTTGCAACTTTGGAAAGGACCAAGACTGATTAAGATTATCAGCTTGAACAGGCTTTATAGATGTACCGCTAATGGTAATCTGCCAACATTTTACGTTTATTTGCACTGAATGAGTTTATGTAACTCCCTTTCTGGTTGTGATTTTATCTCTCCTATTCTTTTGGCCAATTCAGAGCACTTTTGAGGGTTGAACAATTCAAACAAATCAACTTCCTGCATGATATAATGAGGACATTTTTTCTTCAGTAAACATTTTTCAAGCCTCTCAAGAAGGCCTAGGAATCGGTCACCCAGACAATTAAAGCTCCATTGCTGGGGCAGAGGGTTTGCTTCACACTCATACAACAGGATCGTCTTGAGGTGGTATGACTTCAAGGGCTGTAGATCAAGCTCCTCTCTTAGAGCCTTCAGTATACGAAAAACCTGCTTGCGGCAAGAACTTTTTTCACCATGACCACCCTCGCGAAACAGCTTCTTTATGGATGCAGAGAAGGTATATCGCCACAGAAATTCTTTTTCACGTTCATGAACACTGTGCCCTTTTGGTGGCTTTGCAACCAAATGACAACCATTTTGATAAATCTTTCGTACAAGTGACTCATTGGGCCAACCTAAATGCAAAGTCATTAAAACAGCAGCCGTTACAAATTACTGGCTCTTTATAATAGACATTTCTGGGATTTTCAACTTTGAGTTTGATGCAATAAAAAATGTTGGTTTAACCTACTAAGAACCAGTTCAGACTGACTCGGAAGCCATATACTGGTACTTTGAACAATAAAATCAACAAATTTAAACTACATGACATTAAGTTCATATATGCTGCATGCAGACTCCTCTTCTCCCAGACCTTAGTGAGTGAATGTATAAATTGTAGGTGGGGACAACAACAATTCTTAACTTGTGTGGCGCCATGCCTTTACAGTGAATTGTGTGGGTAATGCAACTGATTGAATTCACTGCTCTAATACCTTTCAAACTTTGTCTGGGTGTTAGCATGTTAAGAATAATATGAAGTAAAATGCCTGTATTTCAATGGTACTTTACACGAATAGAAACTAAAATGCTTAAAATGAGACAAGATGGAGTTATTCAGGGTCTTACTACAAAACACTTAAAATAAAAATTCAGCAATCAGCTGGCAAAAAATAGTGGGGTAGAAAACATTCTCTAGGTGGTAAAAGTTTTTGAGGTTCATTATTTTAAAAGCAATAGAGCACATTTCCGTGTTTACATAACCTCATCTAAACACACAGAGGGTTTGGAGAATTCGAGACAGTTATGCAGACATGAGACGTAGTCAAGAGTTTGCATAACTTTCAAGAATTTGCCCAGCCCCCGAGTGTTTAGATGAAGCTATGTAAACATGGAAAAAGTGCTCTATAGCTTTTATAAAATAATTTCAAAAATACGCACAAATCTATAACATCACAACCGTGTTTTAACACACTCTCATCTAAACACACCTATCGACCAATGAGAGCGCACATAGTAGTTCAGTTATTTTATAACTTTGAATAATCAACGTTTTGACTACCAAAATAATGATTCGCTTGATACCTTTTCGATCTCTTCTTTTCCACTCTTCTGCATCTTCTGGCCAAGACTTATCTTTAATGGCAAGTGTCAAGTCAACTGAATATTCTATGTTATTTTTGTCGGTTATTTTGAGGGTAACTGCTGGGCCATGACATGCTACACTGGTAACCATACTAAAAATAAGAATGACATTGTGCTATGTATCAATAAACCATTTTAAAGCTCATTTAAGAACTGGTTTTGAGGGGAACCAAGTGGGGGGGGNTAATTTTGCATTTTAGAGCTCAAAATGGTAAAAGAAGTGATTTTTGCTTGGTACCTTTGTTGTTCAGGGGCATAGTTGGGGTACCCATAACCCCCCTTTTGTAGGCCTTTTTTAAGCAAACAACCTACAACCAATTGAAAGTACATGAACTGGGTAACGATATGCAAAATGGCGGCAATCTGTATCCTGGGTCATTTAATATTACTCTACTGGCAATAATCCAAGTGACTTCCAACACAGGTTATACCATCACTATCTGAAGCAGTTTAACACTACCTTCTGTATTCCACAGGCAGTTCTTGGATGGCTTCCCTGATAAGCCTTACAAACACTGCTTTGACCCGAGCAGCACTTAACATTCCTCTATGGTTAACACATTGGTCTGGCTGCCATAGCTTTTCCTCACCCTGGTCAATCATTACTGTGGTGAACCCTGAAACACCAAACAAATTGGGTTACCCTTGTCAGTTTTATTGTGAAATCCCACAATACCTTTGGTACTGGGATAACAACATGCAGATTCCCCAATAAAATCAGTATTGTGGCACATAAATATTGTATGATATCTTGTAAAGGATGC